TAAGACTATTACTTTGATCATAGCAACTAGGGTAAAAAAAAAAAAATCAACTTTTCCATTTTAAGTTAAATTTGCTTCCTTCAATAATAGACACAACTTTGAAGATTTAAAAGTTCAAAATAGCAAATGAAATAAAATTAAAACTTAAAATAACAAACCAAATTCAATTTATGTTTTTAAAAACAAATAAAATAAACTAAATGAAGTATTAATCTAACTTATTGAAAATTGCATTATATTATCCCTTTTCATAAATCCATAATGTCTATAGTGAGAAATATAGATTGCAATGCTAAAAGAAAATATACATAGTGTGATATATGATTAACAATATTATATTATATTTTATATATATATATATATATATATAAAGGACAATGATGGTGGTGGTGGAAGACGTGGTGTAAAGGGAAGAAGCCACACAAGAGAAGAAGAGCGTAGAAAAGGAATTACATAGTGGATGGGCCAGTGGGAAGAATCGTCACACTTAGGAATGAAAAATATTTAATAAAAATTTTGCATTGCAAATGTGAGTATAATAACAGAAAAAACATGCAGAATAAAATTTTTGATTTTATAATTAACTCCTTTTACATTAATCATAAAACCAACTGATACTCCTTGTAATTTATCTATTAAGATTTTTGGTTATTTAAATTGTAAATATTAATATTGTAGTCCAGAGTTGTAGTGTTAGTTTGGTAGTTACAGATGTATATATGTTAGTAGGTGCATTTCATAGTACAAAATTAAAAATATATAATGATTCAATTGTATATCATCTTCGAGCAGTCCTCATTTTAAATATTCTATTATTAGTTGTAGCCCCTTTTTTTATCTTTAACTAATATTAATTGTTTTGTAATTTTATATACAAGTAGTTATACTTATTGTGGCTAACGTTATTATCTTTGTGTGTTATTTGTTTAATAAATGAGACTATTATCTATAATTATTTTATTTGTCTATTATTAATTCATGTCATTTGATTAACGAGGTTTTTTAATATTGTGTTTTTTTTCTTGTTCTTTGATTTGTGAATGCACTATGGTGGCAACACCAATACTTTTACTAATATTGGTGAACAATATTTTTAATAGTCATCTTCTTACCTATTTATTTTTGCTTTTCATTTATCTTCACTTTGCCTATATCTTTTTTTATTAAGAAAAGACGAGTAGGGATGAGAGTAAATCAAACGGAACTTTATATAAATAAATCCGAACTTGTCATAAAAAATTGATATTCGACTTGAGATGATAGTATATGAGAAATGTTTTTGTTTTTACAATTAACTTATTTTGAAAGCTGAATTTAGTGCATTACATGGCTTTTTTTTTTCACAACAAATTTAAGTAGACTAATAATCTAAAATTTAAAGAGTGTAATAGTAAGTTAAGAGACTAAATAGAACTTATCATGAACTATAAACTTAATAATAAAGACTACTTTATTCATAATTTTTTTTATCTTGAATATTTATTTTATTTATAATAAGATATTTTTAAATTAAAAATATCACATATGAAATTCTAAAATATATACTTTTTTTTGCATATGTAAATAAATAAACATATAACCAATAATATATTATAGGAATAATAATGTAAAGCGAGTCATGTAGATTAGTTTGTAATCGATAAGAAAAAGTACTATATAGATTAAGTATTTTATCTTATTATTTTGTTTAGGTTCGTTCCACATAACTCGTAGTTTATACGAACCAACAAATGAGACGGGATGAACCATACGTGAATTTGTCTAAAAAATGTGTTCATAGTTTATCATGTGACCTGAGATATAATTATTATGTGTATTTGTCATTAGTTAAGTTTGCTTTCAATAGTATTTTTTTTACTAATTCTTAATTTTCATCAATTAAGTTTACTTTTATTTATTATCAATTTTATTAAGTTATTTAAAATTTAATTTTTATAATTATTTTAGATATATGTATCTAACAGAATTATATTTAAAAAATAAAAAGTTATGAAACTATAAATATAATTTATTTAAAAAAATAAACTTATAAAATTTATTATCTTACTAATTTAATTAAATAAAAATAAAAAATTTATTATGGAGATGACCCAGAAAAATGTAGTAAAAAAACTAAACTATATACTTAAGGAAGACGTGTGACTGAGCCGTTGTGGCGGATTAATGCGAGACGAGGCAAAATGAAACCGGCTAACTGACATCCCTAGCAGATTTTGTCATGCCTCCAAACTTAATCTATTTAATTAATAAATTAAAGTTAAAATTTAATATTAAATAAGTAGGATCTAATAAATCACTAAACCAGTGGTCGAATTGACAGGACTCAGCTATGGATGATCACACATTAAAACTTAGAGGTCCCATTACCAAGGCATTATCTGATATCTGATGCTCATGTACCAAAGAGGTAACCCAAATTCAATGTGCATTCTGCATGCAATCAAAATTAAATGCACTGCACCAAGTCAATGACCCTTACTTATTCTAATTACTTCTCACCATTCAACAAGATCAAATACATTTATTGTGCACACTCTACAATATTTCAATAAAAGCTTTCATAAACTCTTCCTCGAGTATACAAATCCCATTTCTTCTTTCTTCGATACTAACGTTATCTTCCAAAATCTTTCGTCGAGTATTCTTGTTAATGCTCCTACGCCATCAAACAACGACTTTCTCTAATCTTCTTTCCTCAATTTATTCTCAGCAAACTACGTGTCAATGTAGTAAAATTAAAGAAACAAGAATCTAAACGCAGAGAAAATGGATTTATATTCAATTTTATGACAAACTCAATTCTGATTTTTCTTTCTTTTCTATCTCTATGTAATCATTATCGTTATATATAATACGCGGAGAATATTATCTTTTTAAAAAAAGTGTATGAAATATGAAACTCTTATTTTGAAGGAAGGATGACGCCATCGCACTAATACGTCGTCGTCGTGTTTGGCACAGTTTCTTCATCGTAAACGGTTGCTGGGTCCACCAGTCAAAGGGTGTCGGTGGTTTAAGATCAACTTTCCATACCAAAGCTTTCAATTTTTTTCTTTTACTTTTTCGAATCTGATTCCTTTTTTAGATTTCCTACAAAATATGAGAAAGTGAGGAACCCTTTTTTTTTTCTTTATCTGATTTATTTTATGAAAAGTTAAAAGAAAAAATTAGACCATGCACTTCAACCGTTATCGTTACTTGATTTGAAACCGTTCTAAACTTTATTTATTAGTGTTATGGATTATGAAATCATTGTTTACGATGAATTACATGATTCGGTTCTCTAGGACCTTGGTAATCCAAAGTTCCTAACATCCTTCATCCATTTGTGATTGAGAAGAGAGGGAACTTAACAGTTTTTTATAGGTATCAGTATCCTAAACTAGATATAATTTCCTAGGATTTACAACTTCTATCCAACAATAAAAGATAATCATGTGGGAACACAACTTATATTATTTTGTTGTGGTTATAAATAGGTAGAAATGCTATATCTAGTTTCTGTATCAATCTTAGTTTATTACATGTTGGGAATGGTGAGCATTATTAATAGTGTGTGAAAATATGTTGTACTAGTATAATAATTGACCACTCAATTAAAACTTGGCTTTCAGTTAGGGTGGTAATGATTTATGTTTTGTTCTCATCTAACTTAATTAGACATGAAGCATTGATTATACGCGCACCTAATTTGCTCAAATATTAATCCTAGATCACATATATTAATTACACCATAATTTTGTTATCTTCAAGCTGTAAAACCCACCAATTTTTGTTTATACGGTTTACAACAAACTATCAGTATATACAGTGTTTGAATGTGGAGTTGACTTTGCTAACTCTGTCCACTAGCATTGAATATATATTAAATATATGTGACTTCCGTACAAAATATATGTTATAGAGCTTAAAGTTTCAGTTCAAAGTTTCAGTTCAAGCTACATGTATCATTTTTCACACAAGTATTTATAAATTATAATGAGTTTATCATCTGACTCATTGACAATATTAATTGTCAATAAATAACAATTATTTTTATTAACTTTCCAACAATTATTATTATTAATTACCTTAACGGCTGATTTTACGGATTGGTTCATTAACTTGAGAGGTACCATCAGTCGAGCTGATTTTACCGATCGGTACATTGATCTGAGAGGTATTATCGATCGGTCGACTCTTGTACACCTTTACCGAGTATGAGTCCATAATAACAAAATATATATATATATATAAACTAGTTAAAGACGAGTGGATGATAAAAAAATTAGTATTGTGTTTAACTTCAAAATAACTGCTAAATAGAAAATAATCTTTGAAATATTAAATTTAAAAAAAGATAAGATAAAAGAAAAGCGTGAGTTATGTTTTTACTTTTAACCAAACGGATAAGGCAACAGGGTTGTAATTACCATATCCATCCAGAAACGGTAACACAGATAGAGTTATCGAATTTCAAAGCCAGCAGATTCTCCGTTATATTACATGCAACTCCCCTCTCCCTCAATTATAAAACCCCTCGACACTCTCGCAAACCACACATCACAAAACTAAACAACACACACTCTCTTCCAACATGGACTCTCTCTCTGCCACCAAACACCACAACAATCTCCCCAAGCCTTCCTCCCTCCACATGGAGGCTCCGCCGCCGGAGCCCAGTCCTCTCCGGAAGATCATGGTTGTCGCATCCATTGCCGCAGGGGTGCAGTTCGGCTGGGCCCTTCAGCTCTCCCTCCTCACCCCATACGTCCAGCTCTTGGGAATTCCCCACACTTGGGCCTCATTCATCTGGCTCTGCGGCCCAATCTCCGGCATGCTGGTCCAGCCCATCGTCGGCTACCACAGCGACCGCTGCACTTCCCGCTTCGGCCGCCGTCGCCCCTTCATCGCCGCCGGAGCTCTGGCCGTTGCCATCGCCGTCTTTCTCATAGGCTACGCTGCCGACCTCGGCCACATTTTCGGCGACTCCCTCGCCAAGAAAACCCGCCCACGCGCCATCGCCATCTTCGTCGTTGGCTTCTGGATCCTGGACGTGGCCAATAACATGCTCCAGGGCCCCTGCCGTGCCCTCCTCGCCGACCTCTCCGCCGGCGACCACCGCAAGACGCGCAACGCAAACGCCTTCTTCTCCTTCTTCATGGCCGTGGGCAACGTCCTGGGGTACGCCGCGGGGTCCTACAGCGGCCTCCACCACGTCTTCCCCTTCACCAAAACTAAAGCCTGCGACGTCTACTGCGCCAATCTGAAAAGCTGCTTCTTCCTATCCATAGCGCTCCTCCTCAGTCTGGCCACCATCGCCCTCATTTACGTGAAGGAGAACACGGTGCCGTCGGAAAAAAGCACTGCGAGCGTTGCGGAAGAAGATGGGTCCCACGGGGGCATGCCCTGTTTTGGGCAGTTATTCGGTGCGTTTCGGGAACTGAAGCGTCCCATGTGGATCCTTCTCTTGGTGACGTGTCTCAACTGGATTGCGTGGTTCCCCTTCCTTCTCTTCGACACCGACTGGATGGGCCATGAGGTCTACGGTGGAACCGTCGGAGAAGGAAAGGCCTACGATAGAGGCGTGCGCGCCGGTGCGTTAGGTCTCATGTTGAACTCTCTGGTCCTCGGAGCCACTTCCTTGGGCGTCGATGTCCTCGCGCGTGGAGTCGGGGGCGTCAAGAGGCTCTGGGGAATTGTCAACTTCCTTCTCGCTGTCTGTTTGGCCATGACCGTTTTGGTCACCAAGATGGCCCAGCATTCTCGCCAGTACACTGACCTCCCCGGCGGCATCCACGAGCCCCTCCCTCCTCCCTCCGGCGTCAAAGCCGGCGCGTTGGCCCTCTTTTCCGTCCTCGGAATCCCTCTCGCGGTAAACCTCATTACCTAACTTCCACTTCCTCTCACGTTTTTCTTCACTCAATTAAATAATTTTTTTTCAAAAGTTGTAAAAATTATTCACGACAGGGAGAATAAAGTAGGAGTAATTTCCCATTGCAGCAAATTCACGAGGAAGGGTTAAAACACTTTTTTTACCTGCTTCTCTTTGTTTATTTTATTTTTTTAAAATTTTAGAAGGGGGTTGTTATCTCGCCATGCACGAAGGAGTTTTTTTTCAAATATTTTTGTGGGAGACCCCTGGGGCCCGCCTTGTGAATACAAAACGAGGGCTATGAATTTTTTTCAAAAACTTTTCTTCTAAAATTTATTTGGACTCTACTCTGATATAAAAATTGTTTACTTGGCTCTTTTCTTTCTTTGAGCTGCAAAAGACAATACTCAAAGGCTTTTCAAGTATTTTTTGATTGCGATGGCCGGTTTTATTGCTTACAAAGCAGTAGATTAATTTGGCATGAAAGTGCTGTTTAAAAAGAAAAGAAATAGATAGAGTTTAAAAAATAAGGTTATAAAAGCACTGGTATTTTTATTTTTATCCAAAGTTTGAGGTCCCTTGTTCATGCATCGTGATTGCATTGAATGCATTTAGGTATTGCGTTGTAACTTGCAAACGCAGCGTAGCTAGTTTTCCCGTGACACTCTTTGAGCAAGGAAACTTCTTTACTTGTCTTTATTTATCTATTATTTTTATGTTGGAAGAGAAAAGTGATTTATAACGAAGAAGCTAGAAAAAGAAAGAGTGAAAGATTTGAAAGTGGGAACCTAACAATTTTTGTTTGTGCATGTGTTCAGATTACTTACAGCATACCCTTTGCTCTGGCGTCAATATTCTCCACCACCTCAGGGGCAGGACAAGGTAAGACCACAATCATAATCCACCTAGTTAAGCAACGCCTGCCTAATCAGTCCATGTTTAACGCCTTGTGTTGCATTCAAATTTCAGGGTTATCTCTCGGAGTCCTCAATCTTGCAATCGTCATACCACAGGTTACAATTAATTCATTTCATCTAATTACTCCATTCTGTTGTCAATTATTACTGTTACTAACTGAGCACGTCCACGTGTATGTGTATAGATGGTGGTGTCTGTGATCAGTGGACCATGGGATGATCTATTTGGCGGCGGTAACTTGCCGGCGTTCGTGGTGGGTGCGGTGGCGGCTGCGGCCAGTGGCATTCTATCCCTGATCCTGCTGCCATCTCCACCGCCGGATTTGGCGAAAACTGCAACCGCAGCAGGGGGAGGGTTCCATTAATGAGTTGATGATGTTTGTGTTTTTGTCCAAAAAGGAGCACGCACGTTTTTTTTT